TATATTCTATTTTTATGTACACACACACACCCTATTGCTGTTCTAAAGCTATAGTTCATTTTTAGGTATACACACACACACACTCTTGTGATTCTAAAACTATATTCTATTTTTATGTACACACACACACCCTATTGCTGTTCTAAAGCTATAGTTCATTTTTAGGTATACACACACACACACTCTTGTGATTCTAAAACTATATTCTATTTTTATGTACACACACACACCCTATTGCTGTTCTAAAGCTATAGTTCATTTTTAGGTATACACACACACACACTCTTGTGATTCTAAAACTATATTCTATTTTTATGTACACACACACACCCTATTGCTGTTCTAAAGCTATAGTTCATTTTTAGGTATTATATACACACACACTATTGCTGTTCTAAAGCTATAGTTCACTTTTAGGTATTATGGCCTATGTCACACATCCCTATTTCTCATGGTTTTTAATATTGAAAGAAAGGAGGCTAGAGAGATGACTCAGTGGTTAACAGCTTTTGTAGAGAACCTGAATCCAGTTCCCAACACCCACATCAAGCAGTTCACAACTGCCTGTAACTCCAGATCCAGGGTGTTCTGATGCCTCCAGCCCACACACAGACACACACACAAATATACACGGACACACACACACACACACAATGGCGTATACTAACACAAATACACACAGACACACACACACACACACACTATTGCTGTTCTAAAGCTATAGTTCATTTTTAGGTATACACACACACACACACACGAATTTTTCTAGTCACACTACTCTATTAAATTGGGTAGTATAAGGAAACATACATGTTTGCACAAAATTATCCAAACCACAGGCATCAATACATAATAAGAGTCATGATGATTCAGAAAGGAAAATACTACTAAAAACCTCCTGTATGCTGGAATACATGGCAAGACTTAAGCATCCCAGCAGCAGATGTCGAACACACTGCTGTTCCACACATCCATCTGCTCTAGAAAGTTCCCCATTTCCATAGTCTCATCTTGTTTCTGAGGTTGAGTGTGCCACGCCTCATCTGCGGAGGCTTTCTGCTTGGTTGGCCTCAGACAAAGTTACCATTAACTCCCCAACCTGCAAGAAAATGATTTGACACAAAGGATTCCAAAATGTCCTCCTCTCCCCCTACAAGCCTGCAAACAAACGGTACAGGAATGAGGTCAGAAAGGAATCCCCCGCCTACCAGGCTGCTGAATTCATTTACCTACCTCAGTGCCCATTCAGAGAAAGGGGTGGGACAGGGAACAAGAGATGCTTGGAGGCCAAGTGGAGTTTGGGGGTCGAGCGCTACATTACAAGATTTGACAGGCCTTTGCCAGCCTTCAGCTTCTTTGTGTCTTGCACATAATAGAGAAACACAAACTGAGCAGCACACGATCTGTGGTTACACCCTTGGACACAGCACACTCTTTGCAAATGCTAATAGTATTGTAGCATCCTGTCACCCTGTTACACAAAAAAGGATGTTGATTTTCACATGAACCAGAACAGGCTCATTGTACACAAGTTTGTGACCAACTTGTACTATCTGCACATCAAAAGCCCAGCCAATCATAGAGCACACAGCTGGCAAATCGCACCAAAGGGGGCACCCATCAGGGAGAACATCCCAGTCCCGATGCCTCACTCCACATGAGTAAAATTAGTTCTATGATCTTGATTTAGCGATGACCATAGTAATTAGTATAATAGGCAAGAATGTAAATGTGTCAAGATGTTTTGAAAGTGAAATCTGAATGTAGAAAAATGGGAGGGATTTTGTGTTTGTGCTGAGACTCAGAGTGTCCGCAAAACACGCCTAAGATTTCTGCAGTAAAGTAGCCATTTCTATATTAATAACTTTGGGAAACTAGACATAGCTCAAAAAAAGATAATTAAAATATGTATGAGGTTTCTGGAAATAAATTTAGTTAATATTGTAAAGATTTTTGCTAATAACTTTTCCTTCAAAAGTGTTTTATTATAAGAAACAAAAAGGCAGCCAATAGGAGTACTCATGAAAACTAAATTTGGTCTCACAGAAAAGAAAAAAAATCAGTTAAAAAAAGTAGTCAGGTGCGGTGGCACACACCTTTAGTCCAGCACTTGGAAGGCAGAGGCAGGTAGATCTTTGTGAATTTAAGGACAGCCTGGTCATAGTGAGTTCAGGCCAACTAGGACTAGAGAGAACCTGACTCAAAAAAGGTGGGGGAAGGCTGGAGTGGTTAAGAGTACTGGCTGCTCTTGCAGAGGACCCAGGTTTGATCCCCAGCACCCACATGGCAGCTAACCACCATCCATAGTTCCAGTTCCAGGGGATCTAACACCCTCTTCTGACCTCCATGGGTAGCACACAACATGAGTACATTTACATACATGCAGGCAAAACAGTAATACACATAAAAATAATAAATAAAATATTAAAAAAGAAGTCTGTATCTAAAGAGGTTAACATCAAAAGATCAGGGTCTGCAGAAGTAAGAAACCACAAAGTTCTCATGCTGACTGCTAAAAAAGGCCTGGGGCAGACATGAAATCAGAATCCTCACCAGGACCGCACATCTCTGCCAAGAACTCTACTGTCGTGATCCAACCAGCTCTCATATAAATTTTCTTGAGCCATCTGTTATAAGATGACCAACGATTCTTGCACATTAGGTGAAATGTACCTAATGCGCTCCCAACACCATATACATGTTCACTTGGAAAAAGTGAAGAAGGCTCTTTTGGAAAGTGGGTTTGTGATTATGGGTTAACAAATTCTGACTTTGCTACTAAAGAAAGACCTTGTGCAAGTTACTTATGTTTTTCCTCCTCCACAAAATGGAAATTTTGCCAGTGATGGCTAAGAGGAAAAGACATATGGCCATGCATTTATTTAATGTTGCTCTCTGTATATCTGAGATCGTATTCTTATGCTGATTCTTGTACTTTACTATGCTTCAGGACAACTCATAGTCACTATGTAACACCTTCTTAGTAAATACTTAACTACACTGATAAAATAAAACTAAAATGGAGAACACCAAGGTGCCAGAAGCAAATATCAGTTATCTGGTGAAATATCTGTTAACCATTGTACTGGTGAAGCAGGAAATTATAGCGCGGAGGGTGTCTTAACCCTTGCCTGGTGTATTTGCTTCTGTAAACAGGCTGCCTACTTGACTATGAAAGGAATTTTCTGAAATGGCTTACATACATGTAGACATTTGTGTTGAAAGTTACGTGGGCTGTAGTCTAAACCCACCAATTCTGTACCTGTTGAAGAAATGATGTAAAAAGTCCCATAAAGGCCTATGGCTTTCTGTAATCTGGGTCTGAAGCTTCAGAGTATTGCTTGTCTGGATCCGCTTCAGCAAGAAAAAAGTGAGCTCTCCAGCTCTGTGGACTGATTTCTCAGCTGCCTGGTTTTCCATAAAATAGAGATACAAAGCCTAAGGCTTACTGGATTCTTTGCTGTGGATTCAAGATCCTAACTCCTAAATCAAAAACCAAGCTTCACAGGCCAGGATACTGACCATTAAAAACTTGAGGGGAGGTTTTAGATGGATCTCAGGTTGCTAATGGTTACTTCTTAGAACCCTCTGCAGTGCTGAGTGCAGCTCAGATCCTTGCCAGGTCTTTTCCCAGCACACTTCAGGTATCTCCTACTCTTGTTAGTGTTGTTCATGGCAGTGGGGAGAAAGGTTCACTACTGTCACTGGGTGTGTATGTGTGCTGTATTTGTTGTTGAGGCATTGGTAAGGCTATCTATCTATCTATCTATCTATCTATCTATCTATCTATCTATCTATCTATCTATCTATCTATCTATCATCTATCTATCATCTTACAGAAAAAAATTGCAGGCATTTGGTATTCCAGGGAACTGGCTAGCAGGAACATTATGGTCAACGAGTGGTGAATGCGTCTACTTGATGCCTCTGGACTCCTTTTTCAAGTTCTGAATCTTCTCAGATACTTGGATAGGAACCAGTTCACAACTGTATTAATAATATCTCCTGCCTCTATCCCACAAGTGCTGGGATTATAGGCATGTACCACCAACCTGGCTACATTCTCAGTTTTCAAGTTCAACTCTGCCATTTTCAGACACTAATTTTCACCCTTTATCTTATGAACTGAGTTCCTCAGGCTAAACATTGCCTAACTTAAAGGTTCTTGATACTCTGCAACTTTTTAGCATCTAACAATTTTTGTAGTTCTTAACACTCCAGTTTTCTGTGCTTGTCTACTTAGTCTAATTTGTGTAGGACTTATGGCAACCTTAGTTATTACAAACAGGGTGATTATTTTAAAATATGTTTCGTAATATAACTAAATAATATACCAGTGTTACCCATAGCATATGGTAACTATATTAATTCTTAATTGAACATGTTAAAAGAAAACAAATTGCTCTATTAAACTTCAGTAACAAAACTGTTCACTTTTTTGATAAAGATTTGGAACTTGAATTACACAAAAGATGAAAACTTGAATTTTTAAAACAAAAGATCTTATTCATCTTCCTACAACTATTGCTGTGCAGTACTTACTATAGCAATCAGGATCTTGAATCTTTTCCCAGCGCTCACTCAGCCAAGTGTATGAACCCTGTGGAGGCACCTACCATTCTACCTTACTTTACACATCTAACCATCAACAAATCAAGCCTCATATGGGACTGAACATGTTAGCATCATTAATGAAAATGATGGCCATGGCACCACAGTGCAATTAGAAAATATTTTATATATATATATTTTACCAAAGAAAATACCAAAATGTTTTGACAAGTATCAAGATGGGGGGGGGGAGCACCAGCTGAACATGGATTACAACTGTGAAATGCAAGGTATGTGAAATTTAAGCATTCAGAGAAAAGCCACATCCAAAGCTACTTCGATCATGAATTTGGCTATATTATGGAGCCAAGTTGTGACTATAGATGCACAGGCTTTTCTCTTCCTCATTAAAACAGAGAAAATGTAAAAGATGCTCTCCAGTAATAGAATTATAATGTCACTTAAGTATCTTTTAATTACTCATCTACACAAAGGACCTCAAATCAAGCACAGGCAAAATATGTTATAACATTTACATTTAGTGTAAGGTTTAAAAAAATAATACAAAGTTCATTCACAGTGCAGAGGAAAGACAAAGTAAGTTTTAAATATTAAACATCACAGAGCCATGATCATTTAGAAGGTAAGCATATTTTCAAGTACATTTTCATGTTGCTCAAATATATGAAAGTGTAACACATACTAGCTTAGAGAATGGATTTAAGCCATTATTATAACCTCATTATTAAAAAGAAAAAACCCTCCATGTTTCTTTTCTCAGATAAATACATCTAAAATAAATAAATACAAAATTAACTAGTTAGGAAATTTGTCTTTTAAACTTACACTCTCAATTTTATTAATTTTGCTTTTGAAACAGGGCCTCCCTATGTAGCCCGAGGTGGCCTTAAACTCATGATCCTCTAGTCTCTGCCTTCCAAGGGCTGGGATTACAGGTGTGTGCTACCAGATTCCTACACGTGACCCTTCCAAAGTGTAGGGTAGGAAGTCCCACTCTGCAGTACCCCCCCAAGCACTTTCACCACTCACTTGCATTTGGTCACTAAATAATTTGTGGACGTCCACTGGAAAGAGGCCTGGAAACTGGGGATAGTACCAAGAGGAGAGAAAATAGAGTACCAGAAAGGGTGATTTCTCCACCTCGAACTACAGCTCAGCTGACTCCACTGTAAAGCTGAAAGTGCCCAGAGCTTGCTTCCTATGGTGAATTTTGTACAATGACTGATTTTTATAATTGACATGCTGACCAATTAATTTTGCATACATCTGTTTAAAATTAGTTAGTTATCCAAACACAAATTCATTCATTGCATTCTTTGCAAATTTGACATGAAAAACAGATGATTCCTTGTCCAGTTAGACTTTAACTTTTGTATATTAATTATCTTAAGTTATTTTTAAATTTAAATTTGGGTCTTTTCTAGTTCTGGAACTAGAGGCACAAAACAGAGGGTTTACTGTTGGGACTGAATTTTTGTTTCTTATAACATCTGTATTTAATAAATACCTGGCTTTCAAGGAGACAGAGGGAAAAAAAGCATGCTTAGTATGAAACCAGGTTAAAAAAAATCCACGAAGATGAGAATAAAACGTATTTCTTGTAATACATTTTTACCATCTACTTTAAATTTGTTACAATACTGAACCCCTCAAAAAATGAAAGTGCTCTCCAACTTAAAATTATACAAAGCGATGTGATAAAATTACTGTCTACCATCAACCTTTTGGTTGGGAGAGTATGCAGAAATATAGCTGAGGGCATATTTTTTCAATCCACAGTTCAAGGAAACAAATGTGGTCCAATTTCTTTTTTCCCTCAGAAATAGACATCTAGTATGGCTATGGTGATGTTTTACAACTGTAGAAACATTCATTACCATGTGAGATGTCTCCCTCTGCCAGTTAGGGTTAGGCTATCTGCTAATCTTTGTGTGGAATAGCATGGAGCTCTACTTTGTTTCTGTCTACTACTGCCCCTACATCTAAAAGAAATGCAAAAGACTATCCTTCAGCACAGAGCAATGGACACTGTTCCCAGCTACTGAGAACTGTACCTACTTTTCTTATCAGACAGTTTGAATCAAATATTTACTGACTTCCGCTTCTGAAATATTTTGTGACACCCTCCAACCTTCTATACTGTTACATCTTGAGGGAATAATAATGATCAGGATAAACACTGTATAAAATTAACTGTAAAATAAAAACCGCCACACAGTGGACATTTTTACTAGCCCAATAAAGCCTTAATTTAAAAAGGTAGCAAATGAGAATGACATTTTAAGTAAAAAAAAATTTGTATATCTGTTTGCCCTAAAGTTCTTTAGCCACTACAAGAATTTTATATAAAATACATGAAACTATTGTGAGGCTATTATTGTAATTGAACTGCAGTGAGTTAAACTTCACATTTTCTTTCAATTTTCATCTACGAGGGGGATGGTCAACATTATTCTACTTGTTGGAATAATTTCTATTTAAAATAGTGTCTGAGGCCTGGGTGGAGCACCTGCCCATTGTGTGAGGGCTTGGTTTCAATTCCAGCACCCCCCACCCCCCAAAAAAGTATTGTACAAAAGAAAACCTTTTCCTGATGCCCACTTCAAATGTCTGACAGTATTCTAAATGAAATTGTCAACTGATTAACTTTAATCCTCTCCACCTTGTGTCATAATTCAATAGCTTTGTCAAGCGGAAAAGTCCCACACCATTAACAGAAAGCCTAACCTAAAGTATAAAAAAATTCAAAATGAATTAATTTCAAATGGATTCAGAGAGTGAAAAAATAGCAATCAAAGGTTAAAGCCAGCTTCTGAGCTGGCAATGAAGGGTTGACTTTTCTTTCACTGAATTATCCTGATGCAAATTAACTTATCTGAGGGGTTCCTCTATGAATCAGCTGTCTTTCATGTGGTGAATATAAACTGAATTCTCACAAACAGTTCCTGGATATAGAACACGCAGTCACAGACGGTGACTTAGCAGGCTGCTAACACCTTATATACAATTGATACCATTTAAGAAACTGTTTTAAGTTTTATTCCAAAACAACTACTATTATATTTCTGGAAAAGAAACTGATCACGAGTAACCTCCATAATGAATTGCATTAGCGCCATCACAAGTAAGATGACCAAAGAACAACTTTCTTATCTTTGAGGACTAACCCTAACGGCCATGCCAGTTATACTTTCCCAGTTTGTCACTCAGACCAGCAGATAGCATGTGACGGCCGCTCTCATTGCTCTTCTGGTCAGAGGCAGCTGCGGCCTGAAGTGCCTGGAACACACATACATTATTTTTACCCTATGAATTTATTTTGCTTTGAGCGAAGTAGAACAGAAGACAAAGAGGCAGGACAAAACACAAGTTTTCTCCCTTCAGAAGTGTGCAGAGGTGATTATGAGCACGAGTCTGTAAAAAGAAATCCATTTGATAAATTCGGATCTGGCAAGATAAATGAAAAATTTCTAAAGAAACTTTATTATTGCATGATTATAAAAATTAAAGCTTAACTGCTCAAAAACTACTTTTATTAAAATTTTTTTAGATTACCGCCTACCATAAAATATTAGCACATTTTTATTAGAACATGATATATAAATAAGCATACACTAGAATTTCTTTTTTTCTTCAAAATTCCACCCCCCCTTGGTTATTTTTGTGTGTGTTTGTGTGTGCCACAGTGGGTATGTGAAGGTCAGAGGACAATTTGGAAGAGTCAATCCTCTCCTTTTCCCTTGTAGGTCCTAGGGATCAAACTCAGGTTGTCAGGCACGATGGCATGTGTCCTTAACCTGCCCAGTCATCTCATCAAGCCTAGAACTCATTTCTTATAGAAAGGGTTCAAAATATTAATCTTTTTGGTAGAGAAGTACCTGTATATGGCAAATACTAGACTTGTAATTACTTGAAATGCATGGAAAAGCAAAACAGCTAGGCAGAGGAACTCCATACCTGCTGAAATTATAAGTGAGAAGCTATTCCTTCTGATGCCTGGGAACTTTCATAAAAGCAGGCCAGACTGAAGCAAGGTTACCCTCAGTTAGATTTACTCCATTAATGGATATGCAGGGTAGGAAACAGACCTTTGTCCAATTCAGATACTTTTGTCAGAGGCCACAGAGGCATAGATGCAAGGGAAGGAAATGGTCAAGGATGGTTTCCTGTGCTCAGAGCTTCTCTATGAACAAGTATGACCAACGCCCACCTCTTATGACTGCCCTTGGGACAGACACCCTGGCAGAAAAAAAAGGCATGTTCAGGCAGTAAGGGAAAATGCAGATACCATTCTCACTAGGTTACTTTAGGGCCTTTTGATTCCTATGTAAGATATCAGCTGGCTTTGGGTCTCCTTATTTCAACTCCTCTAAATTACCCCCCCCCCCACAGTTTAAAGATTCCGATTTATTCATTTTTATGTGTGCTAGTGTTTGCCTGCATGTATGTGTATCATATGCATGCCTGGCATGGAGGCCAGAAGATGTTAGATTCACCTGGAACTAGAATTACAGGCAGTTGTGAGCTGACACGTGGGTGCGGGAACCAAACCTGGGTCCTCTGCGAGAGAAACAAGTACTATTATCAACTGGGCCATCTCTCCTGCCCTTATCTCTTCCTTTCTTCCTTCCTTCCTTCCTTCCTTCCTTCCTTCCTTCCTTCCTTCCTTCCTCTCTCTCTCTCTTTCCTTCTTTCTTTCTTTCTTTCTTTCTTTCTTTCTTTCTTTCTTTCTTTCTTTCTTTCTTTCTTTCATCTATTTATTTTAGACAGGGTCTTGCCATGTAGCTGTGACTGGTCTAGAACTTTCTATGTAGATGAGGTTGGCCTCAAACTCACAGAGATCCACCTGCCTTTGCCTCATGTGTGCTAGGATTAAAGGTGTGTGCTATTTTAGAAAAAAAAATAATGTATATGCATGTATGCTTGTGTGTGGGTATGTGCATATGAGTGCAGTACCTGTAAGGTCACAGGAAGCTGTCATATCCCCTGGAGTTAAGGTTATAGGCAGTTATGAGATGCCTGATGTGAGTGCTGCAAACTGAACTCGGGTCATCTGCAAGTATAGTATGCTCTCTTAACTGCTGAGCCATCTCTCTAGCCCTCAGTTTATATTCTTAACAGGGTTTCTGTGGCTTTCATGAAATTTTCCCCGAAAAGCCATTTTTGTAAACAAAAATGTCATGTGTATTCAGGGCTAAAGATTCAAATCAAGAAGGCAATAAAAAATGTTTATCCCTAATAGTATAACTATTCATAGTAGCTATCATGATTAGGATGGTATTGGAATATTTTATGGTCCTAAAATAAACTTTCATATATGAAGATATAGAAAACATTTGCAAATACTGACACTTATAGAAACACTGAGTCAATTTTAGCTGTGTTAAAGTTTCCTTTTTTGGTTACTTTTACATATTTGTCATTCAAAGAAATAAAAACAAAGGAAGTCCTTCCTGGAAACTTTTTTCTTTTTTCCTCTCTCCTGTCTCCCTACTTCTCTCTTCTGTGTGTGTTTGTGTGCATGCAAGTGTAGAGCCCAGAGGTCAACCTTGGGTGCTTCTTTTCATTTTGTTTTTGGAGAGACTCACTGGAGCTCATGCTCACTGATTAGGTTAGAGCAGCTATCTAGTCAGCCCCTGGGATCCTCCTGTCTCTCGCTCTCTAGCACTGGGTTGAGTGTGCCACCATGCCTCACGTTTTATGTGAGTGCTGGGGATTGAACTCAGGTACTTCTGCTTACATGGCCAGCAAGTCTCCCCAGGCCCTCCTTTAAGGTTTTCCTAACTCCTTCCTCCCCACCTATTGCCAGGGTACTGTTCTGAGCAGTGTTTCCTTGGCTAGCTTGTTTTCTCAAACATACTTTCCCTGTGCTGGAGAAGGCTTTTATGAGACTGAACTGACTGCAGCTAGGCAGGGGCCTCACCTCCCAGTTCTGAAAGTTCTTCCAGTGACAAACATATTTAAATAAATGATAGTGGCTCAATACATAGCATTTTTCTTATCTCAACTTCAGTATGTCAATGACACTGATAGCCAATTGTCAATTGTCATTGAAGAATTTCTGGGTACTAACTAACTTAAAATATATTTTACCGGCGACAGTTTTATAATGCCAGACTATGGAACAGGACATATCAACATATAAATACTAACAAATTCTAAAGCTATAAAAACTACTTTAAATAGGAAAAAGGCCTATCTAAATGTTTTTAAACAAGAGAAAGTAAATTAAGAACAACTATTAAATTTTGTACTCAAGTTAAATAAGAGGCTTTGAAAGTATATTGAACATATACATAACTACGCACTGACTGTGAGCATACTACGGATCAATTCTTCAGTGCAGAAAATGAGTCACAACGTGCTATAAAATCAACGTTACTAAATACCTTTATTTATTTTGATTGTGTCTAAAATGAGTTCTAGGGGCTGGAAAGATGGCTCACTGGTAAAGACCACTGGCTGCTCACTCAGTTTTGCTTCCCAGCATCCATATGGTGGCTAACAAGTGTGCACAACTCTAGTTCCAGGGGATCCAACACCCTCTTCTGACTTCTGAGGGCATGCATGACACAGGTATGCTTATATATGCAATCAATATACTCATACACACAAAATAAAAATAATAAATAAAATATTTAAAAAAATTAGTTCTAGAGAATATTTTTAGTTCAACCAGAGGCATCAAGTTATTTAAAGACACAGCATAACACACGAAGCTGGTTTTGGAGAATCACACTACTACAACAATTATATCATAAAGAAACAAGTTAGATGCAGTCAGGCCAAATAATAAACTATGAAGAAATGTCTCATATACACTTTGTCTCTAGAAGCATTGAGCAGCAGGATTTTTACTCACTTAATACAGTTTACTTCTCCTGATGAAGAGCTTCAATGAAAGCATCAAGCTTTTCTTGAATTTCTCTAACTTTCTCTATGGAGATAAAAAGAGATAATAAACTAAACATATACAAATTCGTTTTTCAGAGGCATCACAAATCATTAGTGGTAATTCCTTCTTAAAGAGTCTAGAGTCCGGGAGCCCTCTGGGCCTGGTCCCACCCCCACCTCCCTTTGCATCCCTGGGATGCACAGCCACCAGCTTTCTGGTACCAGCATCTTTCCTGGGTAAGTCCCACAGTGCCCACTGCACCTTGACTCCCCCAGTCTCATTCACCCTCCCAGCTCCCCAACCCCATCCCTGCTCCTGGCCTGGGTACTGGCCCATTTCTTGTCTTGGTATCCCAAACCCCTGGGCTGACCTCTTGGCCCAGAGTCCCCACTGCTTCCTGGTCCTTTGAATCCCAACCAACCCAGTTCCTCCCAGTAGTCCCAAGGAGGCATTGGGGGCCTCTTCCCACCTCCCTTTGCATCCCTGGGTGACACAGCCACCAATTTCCTGGGACCAGAATCTTTCCTGGGCCCTGCTCCCAGGCCAGCCCACTCCCAAATTCCTGAGGTTAGCATCTTTCATGGAGGGATCCAGACCTAAGGAGAAAGCCTGAGAGCAACTAATCCTCATCTGATTTGGGCCTCTGTGGCAACTCCAGAAGACGAAAGCAATTTGGCCACTCCAACATAAAATCAAAAGAGAGAACCTGAAGCCTAGACCAACCAGCTTTTCATGCCTGACAAGTGAACCACAAGGTCACATAAAGTTTACAAAAAGAAGCAGACCTAAATTCAACAAAGAAAGGCTTGAGTCTAACACAAGAATCAGAAACTACCAAAGAAATCCACATGTCAAAGTCACAGAGAAAAAATAATAACATGAAAAAAAAATATATCCCCACCAGGTACCAATAGTACTCTAGAGGAGTACAGTGAGAACCCCCTAGAAATAATGCAGAACATGGAACTCAAAAGAACAATTATAAACAAGATAAAAGAATTCAGTGAATTTAAAGAACACACAAACAAAGAAATCAAAGAACTGAAGGAAGATAGGGATAAAATTCTGAATGAATTCAGAAGAGTTGGAGATATTCAAGAATACTCAGGTTGAAATGAAGAAGGAAGTGAAACACTCAGTAAGCCAATTAGAAACGATTGGAGAAAGCCTCACCATAGGATGAATGAAATGGAAAACAGAATATCAAGATTGGAAGATAAAGTGGATGAATTAGACCACTCAAACAAGGATTATGACAAATTTAAGAAAAAACAAGAATGGAATATGCAGGAATTGTGTGACACCATAAAAAGACCAAACTTACGAATCATAGGCATACAGGAAGAGAAGAATCTCAAGATAATGGTATGGACCAGATCTTCAACAGGATTGTAGAAGAAAATTTCCCCAAATTAAAGAAAGCCGTGTCTATACAGATTCAAGAAGCATATAGAACACCAAATAGACAGGACCAGAAAAGAAACTCTCCACAGCACATCACGATAAAAACACTAAACACAGAACAAAGAGAGAATACTGAAAGCAAAAGAGAAACAACAAGTCATGTATAAAGGAAAACCCATCAGAATTACAGTTGACTTTTCAGTGCAAACTATGAAAGTCAGAAGAGCCTGGACCAAAGTATTCCCAGTTTTAAATGACTACTGATGCCAGCCCAGATTACTACACCCAGCCAAAATGTCTATTATAGTCAAAGGGGAAAGAAAATCTTCCATGACATAAATAGGCTGAAGGAATTCATGTCCACAAAACCATCCCTTCAGAGAGTTCTGGAAGCAATACAAAGAGCTGAAGAAAGGAACGACTATACCCAAGGGGTCACAGAAAAAACTTAATGAAGGTATAACCGTGGAAACGCACAGCTACACCAAGAATGCGAACAGAAATCAAAATAACAGGAATCAATACACTTCTTTCATTAATGACCATAAATATCAATGGACTGAACTCCTCAGTCAAAAGACACAGACTATGTGAATGGATCAAGAAACAAAACTCATCTTTCTGTTATCTGTAAGAAACTTACCTCACTTTCAAGGACAGTTACTACCTTAAGGTGAAAGTATGGAAAAACATATACCAAGCGAATGGCACTAAGAAAAAAGCAGGTGTTGCAATTCTAATATCTGATAAAATAGACTTTAAACTAAAACTAATTAGAGGAGATAAAAAGAACAATGAATCAAGAAGATATTACAATCATGAACATATATTCACCAAACTCTGGTGCACCCAACTTCATAAAAACAGTACTACAGGACTTTAAGACTCAGATTAATCCCAACTCATAACAGTAGGGGACTTCAATACCCATTGTTTCTGTTATATACGTCAACAGGACAGAGAATTAGCAGAGAGGCATCTGAATTAAACAATACCATATATCAAATGGGCCTAATAGACACCTACTGATTATTCCACCCAAGCACCAAAGAATACACTTTCTATTCAGCGTCCCACAGAACTTTCTCCAAAATCAACCATATACAGGGGCACAAAACAAACCTCAACAAATACAAAGACTGAATTAATTCCATGCATTCTATCAGACCACAATGCAGTAAAGCTTAAAATCAACACTGAAAAATGCCCTAGTAACTACGTGAACACATGGAGATTAAACAACACACTACTGAATGATGAATGGGTAAAAGGAGAAATTAAGAAAGAAATAAAAGTATGCCTGGAACTAAATGAAAAGGACAATACAACACAACAAAACCACTGAGACACGCTGAAAGCTGTCCTTAGAGGAAAGTTTATAGCTCTAAGTGCCTACATTAAAAAAATGGGAAAGAACACAAATAAATGACTTAACGCTATAACGCAAGACACTTGAAAAGCAACAACAAATGAAACTCAAACCCAGCAGAAAAGAAGAAATAACAAAAATCAGAGCAGAAATTAATGAAATAGAAACAAAGAAAACAATACAAAGAATCAACGAATCCAAGAGTAGGTTCTTTGAGAAGATAAACAAGATTGACAGACTGCTAGCCCAGTTCACAAAAAGAAAGAGCATCTAAAAATCAACAAAATCAGAGATGAAAAGGGAAACATCATAACAGGCACCTAAAAGATCCAGAACATTATAAGGGAATACTTTAAAAACCTATATGCTACTAAATTTGAAAACCTAAAAGAAATGGATGAGTGTCTAAAAGCATGGGAACCACCAAAACTAAACTAAGAAGAGATTAACGGCTTAAACAGACCCATAACACATAATTAAACAGACCCATAACACATAAGGAAATTTAAATAGTAATAAAAATCCTTCCAACAAAAAAAGTCCAGGACCAGATGGATTCACAGCAGAATTCTACCAAACATTTTAAAA